AGACAATTAGAGAGACAGAGGGAGACACAGATTGACCCGGGGGAGACAGACAGACAATTACAGAGACAGAGGGAGACACAGATTGACCCAGGGAGACACAGAGAGACAATTAGAGAGACAGAGGGAGACACAGGGAGACAATTAGAGAGACACAGAGAAACAGAGGGAGACACTGGGGGAGACACAGGGAGATAGAGGGAGACGCAGAGAGGCACAAAGAGATGCAGAGAGACACAGGGAGAGACACAGTTGGAGACTCAGGTACTTTCTTTTAATGTTGGGAAACAAAGTCAGTTGAATTGTGGAGATGGGTGCTGCATGCGTTAGGAACATACTCACCTCAGCCGCCGACACAAAGGAATCTGTCGATGCGATGCTGGTTGTATCTCTCAGGCAGAACTCTTCAGTGTCTCTGACTGTGATGTCAGTCTCCCTGTCTGCAAAAAGAGGAACGATTGGGCTGAATCTGAGCATTTACACTCGAAAGCTGCAGTGATGCAGACTACAATACACCTCTTCAGTTTTCTTTATTCACAGGATGTGTGTCACTGGCTGAACCAGCATTTATTGTCCATCCCCAGTTGCCCGGAGAAGGTGGTGGTGAGCTGCCTGCTTGAACCACTGTAGTCCATTTGTGAAACTTAAGTCCATATAGTACAGGAGGAGGCCATTCAACCTTCGAACCTGTTCTGCAAATAAATTCATTCATGGCTGACCTGCTTCCCTAACTAGCATTTTTGTGAAGGCCTCAACGTCAAATAAATCTCTCCTCCCCCAACCTGTCCATCTTCCGACTCACCTATCCACTCCACCCTTCCCATTGACCAACCACAATAACCCCCTACCTATCTCCATCCCACCTACCCTCCCCCAGCCCCACCCCGTCCCTCTATTTATTTCTGGGCTCCCCTCACTCTCCCCAGTCCTGATGAAGGGTTTCGGCCCGAAACATCGATTTCCCTGCTCCTCAGATGCTGTCTGACCTGCTGTGCTTTTCCCAGCTCCACGTTTAAAGACAAGCCAAAGTAAGTTGCCTACTCTATTCAGACCTTGGAGATTTCCCCACATAACCTTAAACCAGTCACCCTACCCAGTCGAACATTCACTGCCAGCCAAAGGACTGTAAGATCATAAGAAATAGAAACAGGAGTAGACCATTCGGCCCATCAAGCCTTGCTCCGCCATTCAACAGGATCATGGCTGATCCAACACTCCTCACGTCCACTTTCCTGCCCTTTCCCCATAACACTTGATTCCCCGACTGATCAAGAATCTAACTATCTCAACCTTAAATGTACATGAGGGATCTGCCCCCATATCTCTGTAGAAAGGAGATCCAAAGACTCACAACCTAGGGAATGGAGGGTTTGAGTTATAAGGAGAGGCTGGATCGGCTGGGGCTTTTCTCACTGGAGCGTAGGAGGTGACCCCAGATTGAGGGGTGACCTTATGGAGGTTTATAAAATCATGAGGAGTACAGATAGGGTTAATGGTGGGTGTCTTTTCCCTAGGGTGGGAGATTGCAAGACAAAGCGGCATATTTTTAAGGCGAGAGGAGAGAGATTTAAAAAAGACGAGGCAATTTTTTTTACACAGAGGGTGGTTCATGTGTGGAATAAACTTCCAGAGGAAGTGGTGGATGCAGGTACAGTTATAACATTTAAAAAGACTCTTAGATAAGTAAAAGAATAGGAACAATTTGGAGGGATAAGGGCCAGGAGCAAGCAGGTGGAACTAGTTTAGTTTGGGATAATGTTTGGCATAGACTGGTTGGATCGAAGGGTCTATTACCTTGCTGTATGACTCTAGGACTCTGACAGAAGGCATTCCTCCTCAATTCAGTCTTATTCTGAAACTATTCCCTCTGATCCCAGACTCTCCCATGAAGGGAAACATCCTCTCAGCATTTCTTTATTGTTTTTTTTTCATTAACAGGATGAGGGCATCACTGGCTAGACAGCATTTATTGCCCATCCCTAACTGCCCAGAGGGCAATTGAGAGTCAACCACATTGCTGTGGGTCTGGAGTCACATGTAGGCCAGACCAGATAAGGATGGCAGTTTCCTTCCCTTAAGGACATTAATGAACCAGATGGGTTTTTCCGACAATCAATGATGGATTCATGGTCATCATTAGATTCTTAATTCCAAATATTTTTATTGAATTCAAATTCCACCACCTGCCGTGGTGGGATTTGAACCTGTAACCCAGAATGTTATCAATGAGTAGAGTCCCAACCTGTTTAATGTGTGCTCATAAGACAATCCCTCTGTACCAGGGATCATGCTAGTGAACCTTCTCTGAACTGCCTCCAATGAAATAATATCTTTCGTTAAACAAGGGGACCGAGACTGCTCACAGTGCTCCAGATGTGGTCTGGCCAGCGCCTTGTACAGTTACAGTAAGACCTCCCTACCGTTATACTCCATACCCCCTTGAAATAAGGGCCAACATTCCATTAGCCTTCCTGATTACCTGATACACCTGTATGCTTTCTGTGTTTCATGCATAAGTCCACGCCAAGTTCCTTTGTGTTGCAGCTTTCTGCAGTTTTTTCTTGTTGCAAGATTGTTATAACGAACAAATGAAAGTTTTTAAGAAATTAAAAACTGCCGACATGATGTTTTCTGGGAACTATCCGCACTCCTGGAGGTGGAAAGGACTTTCACATTGAGTCAAGGTAGCAGCAATTAAACTGCACCTTTCACTGGGCAGGTTCCTGAAGGTACAAGATACTCAGATGGGTTTCATGACAGCAGGGAGGCAGGATTAAATCGCCTCAGAGTTGCATTTACATTATATCCAAGAGGACCAGCAAGCACATCACTGAGCTTCTGGCTACCATAATGGTAGCTGTTCTCTTCCTGTTTCTGTTCCTGTTCCTGTTCTGTCACCACCGAGTTTATCACTTATGGGGTTTGTCAGTGGCAATCCAATACGCAGCCTCCTGCTCAATCCACTATCTTGCTCTGCTCCAGCGGGCTCCAGCCCTTGGACTCAGATGCTCATTGGTTCAAGTCTCGCTCTGGGCCTTGACAGAATAATCTCAGCCAACAATCCAACACAGTACTGAGGGAGTGCTGCACTGCCAGTGCTGCCAACCTTTCAACGGGCTGTCATACCCAGGGCCCATCTGACCTCTCAGTAGAAGGTACGGTAGCATTAATGTGTAGGGCAGCATTATTGTGCCTCACAGGCTGGTCTATTTAAATACTTCAACCAAAGATTTTTATCTTTTTTCTAAATTCACTTACGGGTGTTACTGGCTGGGCCAGCATTTATTTCTCATCCCTTACTGTCCTCGAGAAGGTGTTGGCGGACCCCCTGCAGTATATGAGGTGTAGGGATACCCACAAGGCTGTTAGGGAAGGAGCAACATTGAGCCATCTCTGCTTGAGCCCCATGTCCACCTTTCACTCAGACTCAAGAAGAACTTTGCAATGTTCGCCCATTGGTGCTACATGAACATGAGTCGCTGTCTTTGAGCTTCGCTGGATGTCTGAAACAGCAGCCCAATGAACAGCGAGTAAAAATAGACATCGATTGTATCCCCTGGCAAAATCTGCCATTCTTCAGCAGTTACATCAACTCCAAGACCAGCCACAGTTGGAGCGGCTCCCACTTCCCAAATGCAAATTGAGGCAGTCTAAACTTCTTCAGCAATATCACCAGCACATGAATGTCTCATCAACAATTTTCCATTCGAAAGATCTATGATTCAAAGATTAATTAGGAATATATCCAGCCAGAGTTTATATTTACAATATAGAGACAGCTTGCCTTTCACAAACAGCTTTGAAAACCCCAGGCTGTTCCGAAGCATCATAGACGGCACAAGGAGGTCCTTTTTTACACTGCAGTCCTTGGCCCAATGTAGAAATCACAGCATCTAAATCGTGCACAGCAAGCTCCCACAAACAGCGACGTGACAATGATCTTACAATAACAAAGTCACTTTGTTGAGGGAAAGGCTTTCGGCCAGGCTTAAACTACAAGTGTGGTGACTGCAAGGTTATGAACAGGGCACATTGATGAACAACCAGTTAATGACCTAAATTTTGCATTTAGGAAAACAATGAGGTTAATAACGTTCATTGATTTACGGAATTAATCAATTGGCAATTTCTAGACTCTGCATGTGTACAGTTAAACATGAAAATCTGGAAACTCCTATCCCATTTTCTCTGCTTCTCCTCAAACTACACATACCAGACCCTTGCCAACAAGTTTGGACATTCAAACGGATGTAATTATTACAAAACAACCTCAGTGGGACAAAATGTTTAATTTTACAAGCGTGGAGTTTCAGTCTGTACCGGAAGTGGAAGTAGAAGTAGAAGTGAGCGTTTATAGGCAGGTTGCCGGGGGGAAGCAATGATCTAATGGCATCACTACTAGACTACTAATCTAGAGATGCAGATAATGCTCTAGGGACCCAGGTTCAAATTCCATAAGGGTAGATGGTGGAATCTGAATTCATTGTTTTTAAAAAAAAAATCTGGAACTAAGAGTCTAATGTTGACCATGAATCCATTGTCAGGAAAAACCCATCTGGTTCTTTAATACCCAATTAGTAAAAGAAACTGCCATCCCTATCTGGTCTGGCCTACATGTGACTCCAGATTCACAGCAATGTGGTTGGGTCTTATACTGCCCTCCGGGCAACTAGGGACAGGCAACAAATACTGGCCTAGTCAGCAACATCCATGACCCATGGATAAATTAAAAACAAATTATGGAAATCTGCAAGACAAATAGGGTTGTGATCATTGGCAATTTCAATTATCCTTGGGGAAACTGGGAGAAAGGTACAGTGTTGAGCACCTTCAATGAAATTCCTACAATGCGTACAGGAGTATTTTCTGAAACAGTACATTTCCAGTCTGACCAGGGAGGGAGCTGTGCTGGATCTAGTGCCAGAAAATCAGGAGAACATCAGAGTGGGTGAGAATTTGGGAAATAGCGATCATAATACAATGAGGTTCAAGATTAAGTTGAAAAAGAATAAAAATCAGTCAATGATTAAGATCCTAGACAGGAAAAGGGCAGATAGTAAGGGTCCAACAGTTAAACAGGAGCAGGTTGATTGGAAATAAATAAAGCAGTGGATGAAAATGGGAGAATTTCAAATGAGAGATGAATAGAGTGGTACATATCCAGGAGAAATATATACAGGGTATCCAAAGGTAGAATACTCTGGATGACTTAGGGTGTGATGAGAAAATAAGAAAAAGGAGGCATATGTTGCATACTGGAATAATAATAGTGATAGAAATCAGGAAGACTATCCTAAATGCAGGAGAGAGGCTAAGGTCGTAAGAGGGAAGACTAAGAGGAAGCATGAGAAAAAGATGGCAGACTATGCTAAAACAAATAGTAAAATGTCCTTCAAACATGTTAACAGTAAAGATTAGTTAAGGATAGATGGGGCCCATA